GTGCTTCTCAAAGTGCTCAGAGAAATGTTAAATCTCACACAGGTGCAGAAATAGGGAATTAAAGGGGGAAAAAAATCCAGCTCAGGAGTCACATATTTGGAGAAGAAACTAAAATTTCCTCCAAAAAAGTAAAGAAGAATAAGGCAGCTCCTTAGATGACTTCAATGAACATAGAATTTTTTTCCTGCCACCTTAAAACAACTTCCACATACCTAAAACTCTTCATTTAAAAGAAATTTAGAACTTCTGGGCAATCTGAGTACTGACACGAGAAGCCTCAGTGTCCTGTCTGAGCCAAACCCTGGGAGAGGTTAAGACACAATCAATTATTCCCAGCCCCCCTCCTTTACAAATCCATAAATTTGGACAGGGATACAGATTCCTCCTGGATTGAAGATGTGCAGAGCAGAAGAAACCCTCATTTCTTTACCTTCCTATCTGCTCCAGAGTTTAGACCTAATCTTAAACTGATCATCCCCCAGAAAATCCTCCAGGCCCCTCCTAAAGGTTTTCTTAATAAGCCAACATTCTTCACTGCTGGGAATAAACTCCTTTGTTGTCATCACTCACCTCACCAGTGAAAATAGCAGATGGTAAAGAGACATTAACTCCAGACTTGAGATCCTTCAGGAAGTTAGCACTGGCAGCCAGCACATTCTGCAAGGGGACAGTGAGGGACAAGGGTGGCAGATCCTCCCCAAACCAACCCCAAACTGTGCCAGAAATGGGATTTTAATGTGCTTCTCAGTGATTTTTCCAGCATTTCTGCAGAGGGTGGTGCCTGTTCCACATCACACTCAAGGGAAGTTGAGGCTCTACAGCACCAACCAAACCCTATCAAAAATTCTTCCATTTTTGTAGGGCTGAGATGGAAAAATCACCCCCTGCCATGGGCAGGGACACTTTCCTCCATCCCAGGCTGCTCCAAGCCTGGCCTTGGGCACTTCCATGGATCCAGTGCAGCCACAGCTGCTCTGGGAATCTGTGCCAGGGTCTGCCCACCCTCCCAGCCAGGAATTCTGGCAGTGGGAAGCCATTCCCCCTTCTCCAGGCCCTTTCTGATCTGATCCAGCTCCCTATGAGCAGATCCAGAACCAGTCCCAGGCCCTGAGCTGGGAGCAGAATTAACCCATTTCCAGGTGCCTGGAACATTCCTGAATCCCCATCCAGAGTCACCCTGGGCACAGGAGCACGGGGTGAGGCCCTGGAAGTTAATTCTGGCATTTGGGAGGAGGAGTAAATTCCCACATCCAATGGAATCTTGTCCAAACCCAGGAGATTCTCCCAGCACTGCCTGGTACCTCTTGGAAGCTAAGGGGGGGCTCCTTCAGGGATAAGGGAAGCAGGTGCCCCCTCTTCTCCAGCAAATTGCTGCTCCCCAAAATCATGATGAACGAACTCCAACATTTGGGCTAAAAAAACAACAGGACATTTGTGTTACCAAGTGAAACCTGCTCAAAGGGGTAAATTCCTCAGAGAGAGGAAGGGTCAGTAAATCCTAGTGCTCTGAAGGAGTGGGAACAGGAGAGAAGAGGGAATTTTGGCCTCACTCACGTTCCTGTAGAGTGCCTCGCTGCTGTAGAGCAGTTTGAGTGCCTGCTTAATTAGCACAGTGTTCCTCAGGGGAGATCCTGCAGGGATGGAAATGAAAAGAATCAAACCCAGATCCTACACACCTCAAAGAACTCCAGAGCAGGAACACAACCAGGATATTCACCTGCTCACAGACCTGTTCCTACAGAGCCAACAAGTGTTTGCAGCTGTTTTACACAGGTTTGTTGGTGGAATACATAAATAAATGCCACGAAACACAGTTCTGGAAAGCTGCAAAGAACTGGACACAATCCAGACAGAGCCAGGTGATCCCAAAGGAAGTGTTTGTTGTGGGTATCACACCACACCAGGGATCTCACACTTCCAATCACACCACTCCCAGGGATCTCACACTTCCAAGAATTTTGCCAGCAGGGAACAACCCCCAAATCAATCTTTCACGGCAGGAGATACCCTGAGAAGCAGCAAGTCCAGGACAGATGATGACAATTACCAGAGCTAATGACTCTGATGATGAAACATTTCCCATCAGGAGGTTTCCTCCTCAAGGTCATGGCTGAGCCACAAAGCCAAGTCCCCACTGACAGTGGCCATGCTGGCAGGGAATGAAGGACTTTGGATTTTCTTTTAATTCTTTCTCTTCCTCTGCTTTCAGCAGAAGCTCACAGCTGACAAAATGAGTGTTTTGAGCAAAGTGAACCAAATAAATCCACGCTGCACTACCAAGTCATCCTTCCTGCCTGCTGCTCTCATGGTTTGGGTTGGAAAGAACCTCAAGCCCCACCCAGTTCCAACCCAGCACTATCCCAGGTTGCCCCAAGGCCTGTCCAGTCTGGCGTGGGACACTTTCAGGGATCCAGGGGTCTCCCCACCCTCACCCAATTCCCAGCTGGAAGGGAGGACACTTGCCAGCTGTAAGCCAGGGCCCTGTCTCCAGCATCTCATTCCCAGAGGGAACACAGCCTGTCCTGAAGATCTTGAGGTAGATCTTGAACTGGCAGGGAGTGATCCTGCAGGCAGAGCAGCAGGCCAGGCTGTTCACAGGGATCAGCAGGGAATGGGCAGCATCCAGGAAATTCCCAGTTTTGCACAGGTAGAATGGGATCAGGTCCCGAAGGTCGCGGAGCCTGCGAAGAGGAAATGAAGGTTTGGGTTTCATCAGAATGAGGTTTTGGTGGGATTTGTGGAGAGATCTGATTGGAGAGAGGGGGAAGGAAAGGGAAGAAAAAGAGGGGAAAGGAAGGAAAGAGAGAGGAAAGAAGGGAGGAGAAAGAAAGGAAAAGGAGGAAAAAGAGGGGAAAATAAAGGATGGAAAAAGAGGGGAAAAGGACATGAGGGAGAGGGAAAAGAAGGGAAGAGAAAGAAGGGAAAAGGAGGAAAGAGAGGGGAAAAGAAAAGGAGGGAAAAGGAAATGAGGGAAAGAGAGGGAAAATGGAAAAGCCATTTACCTTCCGTTTTCACTGCATTTCACAGCTCTCAGGTACCGAACAACCTCCTTGTACCTGGGGAGGAAACCAGAAGGTGAGAAGGAAGGGGAAGGAAGTGGAAAACACTTCCTGCAATGAAAGGAGAGCTTCCCACAAGAGACATTGCACAGCAGGACAGAAACACAGCTGGAAATAAAGCCCTGGAGGTTATCCCCAGGTTATCTCAGCTCTGGCAAGGTAACACCAGAGGTTGCTTTTCAGTTGAATTCTTTAAGTGGACTGGATGATTTGGAATATTGGATTTTCTGGAGTACAGAAATCCCTCTGAAGACCCAGGACAGGCTTTTCTGGCTGCCCTCCACTTGTCAGCCTTTGATGAAGAAGAATTCCTTGAAAAATGAACGTGCAAAACCTGTAGGGTTTATGGAGACACAGAAATGAGCCACTCCAGCAATCTATTTTTTGGTCCTGAGGCATTCCAAGGCCTTTGAGAAGCTTCAAAAAGTTTCTGGCCGTGCTGAGAAAAAAAAAATAAATTAAAAAAAAGAAAAGTAATTCTTTGTTTTGTTTTTCCTGATTATACCAAAGCAAAGAGGTTTGGAACTGTCAAAATAGAAGAATTGGAGCTCCCAAAATGAGAAAGCCAAACCAATCTCACTTTTTTTTCTCCAGCAGTTTCTCCACTCGAGCTTCCACAACAGGGAGTGCCTCCCACAGGTACATTTTCCTTCCTTTCTGTCTTCTCTGCCCAGTGATGTTCTGCCCTTTTAAAACTGTGGTCAGTAACACGTGATCCCAGTGCAAAACATTCAAGCTGGAATGATAAAAACGGTTATTTTTAACTGTGTTTTGTTGTACATTGCTAATTAGCTCCTTTAAGGACTGGGAAGTTTGATTATTAAAACATTTGGGGGTTGAGAGCCCAGTTCTGGGGGGAAAGGAAATAAATGTTAGGGAGAACAGCTCAGGCATGGCGTCAAACAACAAACAAGGAAAGCAGCAAATACTGAAATATTCCTGTAAAATTCCACTTTTATTATCAGGGAAAGAACATTCCACAGGCAACTGGATCCAAACAGAAGCCCAAGAACTCACCTGTTTGTGAAGGCAAAGCAGTGACAGGGAAGGGAGATGGAATGAAAAAAGTCAACAAACTTTTCATAGAGAATTTTTGGGAAGTCACACAACACCAGCATCCTCTGCAGCCGGGTTGTGATCCTGTGATTTGAAAAGAAAAACAATTCAAAAAGGGTATTTTAAAATGAGGTGAGTTACTAGCAAGTTGTCTTTATTTTAATTATATGGGAGACTACTCAAGTTTGGGGTTTTTTTTTGGTTGCGATCTGTATTTGAATTTCTGCTTTATTACTGTGCTGTTTAAAACCAATGTTCTGTGAGGTTTAAGCTTTAAAACAAAGATCTCCAAAGAATGTGTACAGCAAAGACTTCAAACTGTGCTGGACCTGAGCTCCTGCACCATTCCCTGCTACTGGAACCATTTTTGTATTAATTGGTAAGTGGAGATAAAAAAGAAGAGCTCACTCTTTAAAATTTTAGCAGAGAAGTAAAGAAACTCTTCCCTTTTTTGTTCCAAATAAGAAATTAAATCAAAACTAGCAATTTAAAATGAAAACTGCTGAAAGATTTAGGTTGTACCTGTCTGTTCTAGTTTTGCACTACACTGTCATTAGTTCCAGAGAAGGTGAGAATATAGAACTGGGCTGGAAAGAATTTAATTCTTCACTCATCAACCTTCTGTGACAGGTGAATCTGGGGGGAAAGGTGAAGGATAGAGCTAAAATGGGAAGTGAATTAAGCCAAGGGAGCTGGGTGTCCTCATTCTCCAGCCTCTGGGGGAGCTTTTCCGTGCTCCATCCCAGTGGAATCCTGCCAGGCTGCTGCTGTGACCTCTCCCAGCCACAATTCACTCCTTGGTGGAACAACCACGACCTGCTCTGGCCTCCCACGTGCCTCTGAACAGAGGATTTGTCACTTGAAAACGTATTTTAAAGCCAAGCTCAAAGCTCTGCAGCCAGCAAGGAAACCAATCTTACCTATGGAACAGAAATGGGACAGCGATCCTTAGGGAAGCAGTGTGGCCAAGGTTCTGGCAGTTCCTAAGCCTGGAAAAAACCAGCACTAATTAATGCCCAGCTCCCCTTCCTGCCTTTTCACCTTCTCTGAACTCAACTGTTGAGAAAAACACTTTGTAAGGAGAAACCTTGGGAGCTGGCATGCTGATAAAATTTCCTACAACGACAGAAACAAGTGCTAAAGTGCAAAACACAGTGCAAAATTCCCAGGTAGCAAATGCAGCCTGCTCCTCGCAAACCTGGATCAATTCCTGCTTCAAACCAACCCAGACATCATCTCCTTCTCTTTTACCAAACCCCCCGAATTTACACCCCAAAATGTTCAGGTTTCACCAAGCAAAGCTCTTTGTGCTGCTGAAAAATGTTCTGCTGTGTTGCTAAGTGTAACTTCGAGGCTCTAAGATTAAATGCTGCTAAGTGTTATTCCCCTGAAATCGTTGAATTTTAAGCTAAGCTTAAATTAGGTGTAAGGGCTGTTTCTTTGTTGAATTGTTCAGTTTAAGGTATAATTTAAAGTGCTGTTAAGCGGGAGTGCTGTTAAGCTTTTAAGGCCGAGTTGCTTTTATCTTTGCTTTTCCTTTTGTCCCACACTCCCCTCGGTGGTTCTCGGTTCGTTTCCTTTTCTGAATGCCTGGATTATGTTCGGGTTTGCTGTTGCTTGTTTTCCTTTGTTGTGCCTAAGCTCTCCTGTAAGCAGCAGAGCAAATTTTGCCAACCAACTTTGTTGTTTTGTGTTAAATCTGCCTTTCCCGTGGCAGGGATTCTTTTAAGTCATCTCTTAACTTTTCCCTCTCACATCCAACCTCATTTTTTCCCCCAAATCTCACTTCTCCCTCAGTGTGTTCATCCTCCTCTCACTGCGCTGCAGCCCCCACTGGGATTCTGACTTTCCTTAATCCCAATAAACAAACCCCCAGGATTCTCCCACTAATTCCCCTCCCCTGGAGCAAAGAAGGAAGATCCCTCCACTCTGTGGCCAGGTACTTACAGAGCAGGGTCTTTGTGCAGGGCGATCTGTTTAGCTGCTCCCAGCAGCATGACAGCAGCAGCTTTGGGGCTTTCTTGTTCTGCCTGATTTAAAAATCTTGTTACCAGGTCGAAAACATCAGAATACCTGTGAAAGTCAAGTGGCCTGTAAGATCAAGACTCTGCAACAACCAGACTTCCTAAACAAATGGTAATTGTGGCCATCCCACAGCTTGAGAGCAGTCAAGAGCCCTGCCTTGCCTTCAGAGGATCTCCAACACACTGAGAAGGTGCTGAGAAGGCACAACCAACGCCTCGGGTGTTTTGAAGGTTTGTTATACCAGTGAAAAGGTGAAACTCGTTCTAAGAAAGAAATTGGTAAAAATCCCAGAATGGTTTGGCTTGGAAGGAACCTTAAATCCCAACCCCAAAACTGTCCCAGGCTGCTCCAAGTCCTGCTCAGCCTGGCACTGGGCACTTCCAGGGGGATCCCAGGTGCTCTGGGAATCTGTGCCAGGGCCTCCCCACCCTCCCAGGGAAGGAGTCCTTCCCAAAATCCCACCTAAAGCCACCCCAAAGCCCAGGCTTTAGGTCCACACTTTCCCAGGTTACAATAATCAGAGATCATCAGGTGTCCTGCACAGCACAGATTTAAATACACATTAATTTTAAACTACAAGTTTACAAGTGCAATTTATCTTGATGACCAACTCAGTTCTCTCAACTCTATTTTTGCTACCTCAGGTGCCACAATTCCAATTATAATTCATTAAATAAATCAAAGTTGCCCTGACAAACCCAAATTTGCTGTCATTTACCTGTACACCACCTCCAGGTTCTGTGAGCTGCAGACACTGCACTGCCCTGGGGGCAATTTTGGTTTGCAGAAGCATTCATGTCCTGGGGGACACATCCTTTCTCCTGTCAGGTACTTGTTATAGGCTACAGAAAGATCCTTGATGAATTTTTCTAGGAGATCTCCTAAGAGACAAGATCAAAAGAAAGAAAAAAATGCACAAGGAGTTTTGCATGTTTTTTACAAAAACAATAGAGAAAGTTTCCCATGTGAAATTATTTAGGAAATTGTTTGCATCCAGGTTTGTTGGTCAGGAAAGCTTTGTTGCTGAAGAGGGGAGGTTTAGGTGGGATATTGGGAAGGAATTCCTGGCTGTGAGGATGGGGAGACCCTGGCACAGGGTGCCCAGAGCAGCTGTGGCTGCCCTGGAAGTGTCCAAGGATGGGGCTTGGAGCACCCTGGGTGAGTGGGAGGTGTCTCTGCCCACGGGAGGGGGTTGGAATGAGATGATCTTCCAGCCCCATTGCACCCCAACCCATCCTATGACTCTCCCAGATGGAAAAAAAACAGGAATCTGCACCAGCAAACCCATCCCTGGTCAGTGCACGCCAAAAAGCAAGCAGGCACAGCAATCTGCTCCTTAAAAACTCCCCAAGGATTGGTGTGCAGCAGCCAAGCTGTTCCTCAGGCCAGGGCCTCCTCAGGCCAGGGCCTGAGCAGCCCCAGGTCCCAGGGGGAGGAGAGCACCAACCCCCGTGGCGCAGCTCTGTGTCCAGCTCCAGCAGCTCCAGGTTGAAGGTGGCCAGGATCCCAGCTAGGGCAGAGTTCCTCTGAGCCTTCCAGAAGTTGCTTTTGTTGTGGGCATTGCAGTGGCACAGGGAAGGGGCTGTCCAGAGCTGGCACTGGGTTACAAAACACAGAAAAAACCAGAGGGGTTGTTGGATTCTCATGTTTTCCCCTCAGCACTGAGTGAGGGGGTCACAATTCCCTTCGTCCTTCTTGCACCTGAGTAAATATTTTGACAGGTAACAATTTGATATCATGGCAACCATTACAAAAAAAAAGTTTTTTACTGATCAGGTGTCATTGCTGAGCCCTTCACAGAGACCCTCAGGGCTGGCACCCTCTCCACTGGAAACTGGAACAGTCTTTGCATGTTCACCCCAACTTTGCTCACAGCTCAAAGTCTTCTGAAACTCACTGAGGGTCCAAACAAATAAACCACCCCCACACAACTCCCTCCACTCCTGACTCCAGTGAGGACAGTCTAAAAAGCTGACATTTCTCTCATTCCTTAAAAAAAGGTCTGATTTAGTAATCTGATTTCATGAAATGCAATGAGTGCCCAAAGCAAACAGGACATATAATAAAAATAAATGTATGTTTACTCCAACAACTGTCCAGCCTAGGAATAAACCCCAATAAAACCACACTTTTAGTAGTTACTGGGAACTGTTAATCATATTATTCTCTTTGAGTCCTTAACTCTTTCCTGGGAGGGTAGAATTACTGACTCCTATCCTATTTCTTTGCCAGCTATAGTAAAGGTATTGTTGTGCACTGCTTTATGCAGCCTGCTGTAGTTCTTTGTTTTATCCTGTGTAAAAAAGTAACTGTTAAAAGCCCTTTCACAGTTCCCTCCTGCCTATTCAATAAATAACTGTTAAAAGCCCTTTCACAGTTCCCTCCTGCCTATTCAATAAATATATACTCATATAAACTCATTTTATATTAGACCTGACCTGCTGTCCTCCAGAATTTGGGAACCAAAGTGATTTAGGTGCAGTCACCTGAGCAGAGCTGCTGCCAAAAATCTGAGATTAAGACAGGACTTGGCTGAAGCTCTCACTTGATCCCCAATTTTGTCTCCTGCAAGCTGTGCCCTGCCCTTACCTTGGCAGCCAGTTTGTCACAGATGTAGCAGTAGCACTCGTCACAAATATCTGCGTTTTTCCCAAGGGGGGAGGAAGTATCACTCTCTGTTCTCCTGCAAGGTTGAAAACCAGGTTATTGAGGAAAAATCACATCCTTACCCAGCTCTACAGCTGTTTTCAAAGCTAAATGTGGGAAATGGGGCCCCAAGGGGGATTGCCCAGCCCTGGACATACTGGAAGGGGTGTACAGTGCAGTCGTGTCTCGCGTGAGGCATCACATCTGCTTGCTTACAGTAGGTGACCACCAAATCCCCTTCCTCATCCACCATTTCCTCTGATTTATTCTCTTCCAGGGGAGATTTCTCTGTGGGAAAGAGAGCAGGAGGTGTAAATCAGTGTAAAGGCAGCTGCAACTTCTTTAGAGATTACTGGTATTTACTTTTTGAACACTTCAAAGCACTTTTTCTTTTTTTGGATCTGACAGAAGGGCACACAAAACTTCCATGCACTGTCAAACCAGAGGGTACGAAACAAAAAAAAGAACCCAGCTGACATTGAAAAGGCCCAGTCTGAACTCAATTTGAAGTTATTTTAAAACTACACAGCAGCAGCCTTTAAAGGAGTGCCATCAAAGATATCCCCACAAATTGGGGATTTCCCCCCTGGTTTTATTCACTTGTGCAGCACAAGGGCAGGATTTCAAGCATAAGACAGAATTAATTCAGTTTATTCCCTGAGCCTTTCAGGGAACTCCAGCAGCAGCAAGGGAACAGTTCTTACCTTGTGGCTCTACAAGCAGGACAGAACTCCCTTGGGTGCTCTCCCCTTCACCATCATCATCTGGGCACTGCACTTCATCATCATCATCATCACTGATCAGGATTATGGTCTCCTCCTCTTCCTTTTCTGATGGCCACATGGCCACCAACTTCCAAATTGGAACTACTTGGCAGCCATCAGGGTAACACTGACTGTCCATTTGCACTTTTAAGGTGTTTTCCTCAACAGGGGAAGAAAAAGACATCTCCAAGACCCAAATTCTTCTTCTCTATTGGGTAAATTACACTAGAGCCAGAGATGTCTCATCCTCAGTGCACTCAGCAGCTCAAAACCCTCTGGAGCTTCCCCCCAGAGCTCAGAGAACCCTGAAAATAAGGAGAGGAAAAAAGGAAAAAATTCAAATATGAGATGAGCCTTTCTTCTGGTGGGTTTGATGGGACTGGCTGTGGAATGACAGGGGAGTGAGCTCCCACTGACAGGGCAGGGTTAGAGGGGATTTTGAGACAAATCCTTCCCTGTGAGGGTGGGCAGGCCCTGGCACAGGTTCCCAGAGAAGCTGTGGCTGTTCCTGGATCCCTGGAAGTGTCCAAGGCCAGGCTGGATGAGCCTTGGAGCATCCTGATCTATCGGAAGGTGTCCCTGCCCACGGCTAGCGGTGGGACTGGATTGTTGGAAACGACACAGCTTTAAATTTGGGACCAATGAATGGGAATTACTTTGGGTTTTGTGTGTATAAATCTGCAAAGTGTTTAGTAAAAAGCCGTCTGTATATGGAATATTTCCCGTGGCACATCCTGGCCAGAATAAAGTAAAGCCCGACTCCCTATCACTACGTGATACTGGAGGGGTTTTTCTCCTTCCCGAATTTTACTGACAGGGATGAACTTTAAAGTTCCTCCCATCCCAAACCATTCCAGAATTCCGCGATAACAACTCCTGTTAACAATTCGAGCTGTCCCTTAACCCTGGTGTCACCAGGAACACCCAGCACAACACCCTTACTCCTTTCTCCCAAAAATTCCAGCGCGCCCCTGCCCACAGCAAGCGATGGGAGGGAAAGCTTGAGGACCGATTCTGAGCCAATTTTATATTCTGCTCCAATAATAACCAGCCGAAGAAAATCTAGGAAGGATTTTAACTTAAGCAGAAGTTTCCCGTGGCAGGGGGTTGAAACTGGATGATCTTCAATGTCCCTTATTTTAATGTCCCCTTCCCTTCTCCTCCCTCCTCACCCCAAACGCCTCACGCANCCCTACCCACTCAGCCCTTCCAGCCGTGCAGTTTTCCCCGCAATTCCCGGCGTTTTCTCGCAATTCCCGGTGTTTTCCCGCAGTTCCCGGTGTTTTCCCGCTCCCGCCGCCCGCCACTCTTTGAAGGCCCCGAGCGCTTCCGGGACAGCGACCCCGGGACGGGCCCCGCGCGCCGCTTCCGCCCTCACAGCGCCCGCCATGTTTGGTGAGGGCACTGCCCGGGGGCTGGCGCAGCTTCAATAAAGTTCTGTAAATAAAAACTGCTAAATAAACGCTTTATTCTCCACAGAATCGGCATCCGCACAGCGCCTAGCGGGTGCCGTCCCCTGTGTCCGTCACGGTGGCCCCGGTGCCATCAGGTGCGGGAAACGCAGCGTCCACCAAGAGACGGGAGAATTCCCGCAAAAATCAACTTTATTCGGATAACGGAGACAGCCCACTGCGCCATACCTCTGTGGGGTCTCTGTGGAGTTTTTGGGAGACACAGTCTCCTTTTATCCTCATTTCCCTCCTCTTTTCTCCCCTGGCTGAGGCAGTAGGAAGGTACAGTCCCAAATATTACATATTCCCCCTTTGACACGTATCCCTCCATCACGCCTTCTATGACCATCAATACTCGATTTAAGCTAAGCCTGGATGAAGTTCATACTCACAAATTTATTAAGCCTCCACGTTTTTCCCCGAAGCTCCAGCTGCTTAACTCTTCCACGACTCTTCCCGGTTTGAAGTTCTTAAACCTCCACAGGCATTCCCCCCCCTCCCCGAACTTTATTGCTTCTTTTCAATTCAGGCTTTAGTAATAACTTTAACACCCATTTCGAACGGAATTACCGAGACCCCCACACCCTTTCTACCAGCACCTAATGGACTCTCACATTTAGTTGCCACATAAGAGCAACATGTCTAATTATTGAGACACCCATTCTGGCAGGACCTGATTGGTTCTCCCAAATTATTAGTTACATTTTTCATTAGTGAAGACCCCCACACCACTGGGGTTGCCACACCTCGAGTACTTTGGGCAGTTTTGTTCACACAGAATCACCAGGTTGGAAGAGACCTTGGAGATCATCGAGTCCAACGCAGCCCAAACACCTCAAGCTGTTTCTTTAACACATCCAGGGATGGTGACTCCACCATCTCCCCGGGCAGACAATTCCAGTACTTCATCACCCTTTCCCTAAAAAAACTTTTCCTAATATATCCAAGGTAAATTTCCCTTGGCTCAGCTTGAGTCTGTGTCCTGTGGTTCAGTCAGAGCTGAAACCACCCTTCAGGGACTTGTGGAGAGTGCCCAGGTCACCTCTGAGTCTCCTTTTCTCCAGGCTGAACAACCCCAGCTCCCTCAGCCCTTCCTCACAGCGTTTGTGTTCCCAGCTGTCACTGTCGGACACAAAATCATTCACACAGATCAAAGTGAGATGAAAGAAGAAGGAAGCTTATTTGTTCTTTCAGTATTTATAGGTTTTCGACAACCTGACCAGATAGTCAGCTTACCACCTTCCCAACCACACTGGCAGTGAGAGACATCCATCAAAAGGTACATCTTTAATGGAATGTATAAACACCTGTGTTTACAGTTACTTTCCTGGGAAAGTAGCTAGAAATTATGAAAACAATATCTAAATGTCTGATTCTCAGGGTGACACCCAGCCCTTCACCAGCCTCATTGCCCTGTGGACAGGCTCTCCATGTCCTTCCCAAACTGAGGGACCAGGACTGGACACAGCACTCGAGGTGTGACCTCACCAGTGCTGAGTACAGGGCAAGAATGAGCTCCCTGCTCCTGCTGGCCACACCATTCCTGATCCAGGCTAGGGACATCGTCCTTCTTGGCCACCAGAAGAACTTTGCTGGCTCATGTTCAGCTGCTGTCACCAGTACCCCCAGGTCTGGGTGATTTTGGGTTGTTCTCTTCCCAGTCCTGCTGTCACCACTTCTGTCGCGACATCAGCGAGGAAAAGCCACATCCAGCAGCTGAGGCTTCCCCCAGTAGATGGTACCAGAGCTCCACACAGCCTCAGCCAGGACTCGAGCTCAAAAAATGGGAATTGTGAACCAGGGAAAGCTGGAGAGGGAAAGCTGCGATGTCTTAATGTGCTGCTGGCACAGGGAATGGAGTTTTCGAAGGGGGAAAAAGCCGATGGGACCTGTGAATAAAATAAAGATATTTTCTGGTGTTCAGGGCAGCAAGTGCAGTGTGTTTGTGGTTAAAATTGTTCAGCAAGGTGATGGTGTTACAGCACCTGGGAGGGAAGGTTTGAGGGCTGATTCTGAGGGAGGTTTTCACTAATAATAATCAGTTAAAGAAAATCTAGGAAGGATTTTAACTTAAGGAGAAGTTGCCCATGGCAAGGTGTTGAAACTGGATGATCTTTAATGTCCCTTCCAACCCAAACCATTCTGGGATTCCAATCTTAAAAATGAAGTGTCCTGATACCTCTAATTCCTGATATCCTTAATATCAGGAACTATTTAAACAGCACTCAGAGTATGATCACCTTTTCCTTCAAGCAACTGCACACCCTGCCTGAAGTATTCATGCATTAAAAAAAAACAAAAACCCTCTTCCTGCAAATGAATATTCCATGAATAATCTTTAATGTCTTTATAGCTTTCAACACATTCGTGAAAAATGTTTCAAGTTTCTGTGCTTACAATGACAAAATCTAAACCTGACACCTGAATAGGTGGCCTGGTTTCAGCTGTGTGGGGCATTTTCTAGAGACAGAATTTCCTCCCTCTTGCTGCCTCCTTAGCACCACACGGTTTTAGCAACCTTCAGGATCTCAACACAGCGAGTTGGGGGATGAAATGAAGCACGGAGATAGCAGGGAGAAAGAAATAACAACAGCAGAACTGGCGCTTGGCCAGAAGATTTTTCTCTAAAACTCCGCTCTCATGCAGAAATTCCTGATTCTCTGCCCGTGGCCGGGAGTTGGAACTGGATGAGTTTTAAGGTCCCTTCCAACCCAAACCATCCTGTGATTCCATGATTCTGTGAAGTCCTGGGAGATGATCTTATGGCTAAATATGGTCAGGACTTGAGTGCTGTGCCTTGTCCAAGACACAGCGACATCGGTGGTTCCTCTTTCCAGATGAAGAGTTGGCGGCAGCGGATTATTTTTAGTGGTGTGGGTGTAAAATATTGAATTTCGCATCGCCTGAGCTCGGTCTGCTCTGCCCTGGTGGGTTTTGTGCCCAGATCCAGCCAAGCTCGAGCTCTGGGGCTGACATCATGGAATCAGAGAGTCCTGGAATGGTTTGGGGTGGAAGGGACCTTAAAGCTCATCCAGCTCCAATCCCAACACCTTCCATTATCCTGGCTGCTCCAAGCCCCGTCCATCCTGGCCTTGGACACTTCCAGGGATCCAGGGGTGGCCACAGCTTCCCTGGGAATCTGGGCCTCCCCACCCTCCCAGGGAAAGTGCCAGAAATATCTCAAAATGCAGCTGGAAATGCAAACAGATTCATTTATTTGCAAGGTGATTCCCACATTCCTGCTTCCAGGAGACTCTGCAGCTGTTGGGACATTACCTGGAGACTTCAGCTCCCTGGGAATGAGCAGTTGAGGGCCAGAGGAGTGGGGTTCTACCTGAAGTCAAAGGGAATTCCTCTCTGACCACAACAGCAGACCATCAAAACATCAGCTCAAAAACCTTTCCACATCCCATTTACATTCACTGCTGCTTCGTTCTGCTGCAAAGTTTGTACTTGGTGAAAAGTTTGGGATAAATCAATGGACTGGAAAAGGCTCTGAGCATCAAAACGTCCAATCCCACCTGGGCAAGTCCTAATACAGCAGCTGAGCCTGCCTGAGCTGACTCCTGTCACACCTCTTGGCCCCAAAAATGATGCTTAGAGCTGGAAATGGAAAAGAGATTCTCAGAACTGAGCTTTTGGGAAAGAGTTGTGGGGTTTTCAAGCTTTCTCCGTGGGGTTGTGAGGGCACATCCCCCCTTTTCACCTTTGGAGAGCCCCTCAGTGCTTTGCTGTGTGGGACCAACTCAGGTTTCAGGAGGAAACGGGATTTAGGTGGTTCTAATGTGTCTGTGAGGGAACAACAGGCCCTGTTCGTACCCTGCTGTTGCTGAGATGGGAGGAAACCAGCCCAGGTGTCCGAAACAAACTTTTACTTGAACCCTGATTCTGTGAGGGAAATTTCATTTAATTTCATTTCATTGGGGTGAAGGCCCAGCGATGTTCCCCTCACAACCTCATCCCAATGTCATTCCTGAATTCTGGTGCCGAGTTCTACCAGCTGGACGACAGCTCCGAATCCCAAAGGGGACACATTTAACAGATGTGTGAGAGACAGAATCCCTTCATTTATGCCTTCCCTGAGTTTAATCACCACCAAAAAACTTCAAATCCAGAAAGAAACGGGAGAAACATTCCCAAACGACAGAAAAGCCTTCACACCTATGAGATACCAGAGGGTCCACACAGGAGAGAACCCCTAAAAAGACAACTCTGGGTGGCTGACCAGGGAAGAGCTGCTCTGGGTGAGGTATAAATCCTGTTTTTTTTCTCCTCACATGGTTTTCCTGGTGTGTAGGAAAGGGTGAAAGCCTGACAGAGCCCAGTTCAGTTTGGTTTAAAAGTCCATCAGCGCTGAGGCACGAATCCATTGGAAACCAGGCTCCATCCCTTCCAGCACTGACAGGACTAACGTGGATTTTAGTGCTTGAAAGAAAACCTTCCGTTCAGCTCTTTCCTCTCCCAAGAGCACATAAAGCAGAAATGAGATGCTGTGAGAAGGATGGTGCTCTGGGTAGTTCAGAACACATGAAATGCTCTTTTTTTTTTGGCTTTTCAGGAGGACAAGAGCCAGGCCAGGGCAGGAGAATCACGCGGAGCCACCGGTGCTGATTCCCGAGCCAGGCTGTGTGCCGGGAATGAGGAGAGGAGATGCTCCTGCCTCGGCACAGCGGCGGCCAAGAACTCTCAATTTAAGAACCAGATGAGTCTGAACCTCGTTGGAATTCCTTCAAAAATCTGCCAGCACTCTCCTCCCCGCCGAAAACCGGATAAATCCCCTTCGTATTCCCGGCTCCGAGCGAGGCCCTGAAATATTATCAGTGCTCTTTGACACCCTACCTGCCCCTCATCCCACCTGGCTTTCCACAAAATGCATTTCCTCTGCTTTCAGGGGAAAAGAAGTCGGATTCATTCAAGCCCTGACACTCCTCCAGCACTTGGGTGATCAAGTCTCCTCCGGTTTATATTTGATATTTTAATAGGGTTTCCTTTTGGCCCTTTAATGAGTTTTTATTCCCCTCAGTGCATCAGACGCTTCAGTCTGACCGACAGTTTTACTCACCCCGTGTGGAGGAATATGAACAGCCAGGACAACCTTTTCTTCCTGTGGCAAGCTTTGCTGTGCCAACATTTTTCTTCAGCTCTCAGTCGGGGGGATGTGTCCTGACCCTTTCCTTGCCCATCCTCCAGCCTCGGAGCTGGGATGTTCCCGAGGCAGGAATGCTCTCGGCTCTGGAGCAAGGAAAGAGGGAGAAAGAGAGGGAGAAAAATATTCAAAGTTACAGCAAATGTGGGGTTTGGCTCGTCTGAGCAGCTGAGTTTTGTTACTTCAGCCTCAGCCCAGGAGTGGGGGACAGGTTATTCCAGGGTGCAGTGTGTGGGGCAGGCTGGGGCTGTCCTTGTGCCTGTGGAGAGCTCCATCCACAGAAATATGGAATCACTGAAGGGTTTGGCTTGGAAGGGGCTTTAAAAACCATCCCACATCACCCCTGACGCCTTCCACTATCCCAGG